GCCCCAGCTGTCCTGGAACTCACTATGTAGACCAGGCTGGCCTCAAACACAAAGATCCGCCTACCTCTGCCTCCCAAGTGCTGAGATTAAAGGCATGCACCACCATGCCCCGCCTCTGGTCTCTTCTTAATCACAGCTGATTCTTCAGCCCCAGCAGACCAGAACCTACAGATTCTCAATCCAAAATCTCACACGAGCAGCCCTGATAGTCTCCGCTTCCCTTTGAAGCTTCACAAGCCAGGCCTGCATGATCTACAACTCTTTGAGCATAACTGTTCCAAGCTCCACAGCAACAAACTCTGAGCACGTAATGGCTTTTCCAGCCCAAAGTTGCAAACACTTCCACAGTCCTCCCCAAAACACCAAGGTCAGGTCTGTCACAGCAATATCTCACTCTCTGGTACCAATTTCTGTCCTAGTTTGTTCTTCGTTGGTGTCTACGCCATGGATTCTTAGCCTCTCCAGTGTGGTACAGCCATTGTTGGACTTCTCGGACTCTATCCTATGAGCTAAACTGATAAATCTCTCTCTCTATATATATATCCATTCCACTGGTTCTGTTTCTTTGGAGAAACCTGACTAATACAGATTGTGGTACCAGGAGTGGTTCTAGAGAAACAGAATTGAAAGGATGAATTTCTTTAATGGGCTTGTTGGTATTTGGAGCAGGCTCTCCAATTCAGGGTCTTCAGGTAGCGTGGAGAGCACTGAAAATCCGTGGTGTAGAGTATTTGAAACAGTTATGGAGATAGACCCATCTGAATCTCCTAACTCACCTCTTGTGAAAAGCAAGAAATTTAGTGACTCTATACATAAAACATCTGACAATTTGTAAGAAAAATAAGAAAAATAATGATGCTGGCTGGTCACTTCTAGCATCTCTGGATAAAATGATGAAGATAAACAATGAGCTTAATGATAAATTTGACAAGCTCCAGATTCGAATCAACAGTTTAAAAGTTTCCAAGTGTGCCCTGGAAGAGAATGTTCTTTCCAGAAGCCAGAGAGCTAAAGTTGCAGAAAATCAAGCTGGAGCCTTTATACATTTGGCTGACCTACAACACAAATTTAATTCCCAGTCTCGAAGGGTGTCAGCAGTAAAGGTGAGGGAGGGCATTGGTAGGGAAAGATTGAACTCCTGACACATGAAGTGGAGATGTGTGGGAGAAACCTGAGGAGGCTGAGGATTTTGAATCCTCAGACTCTGAGGAATTTGATTCACCTGATGAATTAATCTCCCCACCCTTGCCTGAGGAAACTAATCCCATTCAGCAAGACAAAGCTGATGTCCCTCAGGGCCCAGTTGTTGTTGCCTCTAGACCTATAACCACACTCAAAGTTAAGCAGGCCCCTAGAGGAGACATAGAAAGTGTGGTCCATGAGGAGGTGTGCTACACCACTAAAGAACTTAGTGAATTTGCTAATTCTTTCAAACAGAAATCTAATGAATATATCTGGGAATGGATTTTAAGGGTATAGGATAATGGTGGAAGGAACATAAAATTGGATCAGGCTGAGTTTATAGACATGGGCCCTGAATTTGTGGT